CTGTCTCAGAAGCTCTGCTCTGCTGTTCTTTCTGCCAGGAACCCTCTTCCCCAATATTTGCATGACTCACAGCCTCATGTCTCTTTTATCGTGAGCCTTTTCTAATGGGCCTAAATCAAATAGCCTCCTTCTCACTCAACCTCATTGCCCTCTTATCACCATCTGATATACTCTGCCTTTTTTGGATTACCTGTTTCTTGTTCATCTTGCCCCTCATGGTTATAAACTTCGTGAAGGCAGACCTTTGTTTTATTCATTCTGTATCCCCATTGCCTTGAATAGAGGGCTTGGCACGTTATAGGTGCTCAGTAAATATTTGTCTTTATTCCTTCCAACTCTATGAACTCTATTTTACAGCTCAGAACATTGAGCCTTGGAGAGATTAAGATGCTCATACAGGTCAATGAGGGTAATAGTCAGGCAGAGCCGGAATTTGTACCTGGTGCTATCTGACTGCAAAATCAGCATGCTTTCAGCAACTGTGTGCTGTTCTGTCTCTGATAGCAGCTCTGAGGACCGTTTGTGAAAAGACAATTTTTCCTAGGACATAAAGAATTTCAGGAAATATTGATGACTCATTGTGAGTTTATGTCTTTCTTATCATACTTATATTTTGGCTCTGACCACCCTAGGGGTTTGGGGTATGTATGCGTGTGTTCTACAAGTTGACCCTAAAATAAAATTTCCCTTGGTTTACAACATTATTAAACATTTTCCCCTCCCCATTAGTGCACACCGTCAGTATATTGGTTTGAGATTCAGTGGTCTGGTGTGGACTACCAAATGCCTGGAATTTTAAGTGTTCCCCCTTTGTCCTTCTCCGATGTACTCCATGAGATCTAAATACATGTTTAAGTGGGGCAGAGTAGTTTCTAGGCAGAGAAAACTGTGACAGATTTGAACACTTTGGGGAAGGGAGTGTAGAAAACAATATAATTTAGTGTAAACTTGAAACTTCCTCCCTTCTTTCCTTCTATCTTCTAAACTCTTCTTTCTAGAACTGTAGGACTTTATCTCGCAGCACTTTTCTTCCAGTTCCCACAGGATCATGTCAAAGTCCCCGTCTTCAGCATGTCCTGGGAGGAGACCTCAGGGATCCTGGGAGGTAGGAGAGGGAGCCTAGCACCCAGGCTGTCAGTCAGTAGAGGTTGATTTCCATCTCCATACCTAATTTCTGTGTCATCTGCAGAAAGTTCTGCCAGGCTTCTTTTAACCCTGTGATCTTCACCTGGGGCAACTCCTTTCCTTCCCTCCTGGGCCACTTGAGTCTTCTGTCACCATTTTGGATCAGGTTCCAACTGGTATCCTTTGCCATCACCTCTTCTGACCTCAGAAGTCCCTTGCAGCACAAAATCACCCCCTCCCCAGGGTGGTGGGGGCACCTCCTGGGGAGGTGTGTTGCCTTCCCTACCCTGGTTTCGTCCATATACCAGTGGCCTGGGATAAACAGGCTGTCACCATCAAACTTTGCTCTGGGAGTTTGACTTTAATCCCCTGGCCTTGCCAGCTCCACCTTCTTCCTGCCTGCAAGGTTTGGTTTAGTTTTTAATCTGATTGCGAAGTGTTTGACCTCTTGGGAGAGTCCGAGATCACAAGGGTCACAAGCAGGATGTTCGGGAGAGATGATACGCCCACCCTGACCCTGACTCCAAGCTTCTGGTCCCCTCTCTCACCCCTGTTTAGTTGCTCTTTGTCTTAATTTCAAAGACATGGTGGATGATTCAAGAGTCGTTACTTATTATCCAATCCTTAGAGTTTTCTAGACTCTTCTCTTCTTTTCTCTCTCTGTCCCTGGCAGTATTTCACCATGTGACCGATTGCCTGATGTTGGGAGGCTGTGTTGGGGATGGCTCACGGGCTCGCTCAGGCCCAGGTTCGAGCCCTTTCCTGGCTGGCCTGCTCTGTGACTTTGGAGAGATGCTCTCCAGACATCAGTGCCCTAAGAGGAGATGGAGAATCACAGGCTTCAGAAGGTTGCTGAGGATGAAATGAGCAGTGATCACTGCTTCATCCAGGACACTGTCACTGCTACTGATGTGGTTGATATTACCGTTGGTGAAATTGACCTTTCCTCTGGGAACAACTGAACTTTCCTCTAGAAGATTAGTAGACAGAGGGAGATCTAGACTCTAAGCTTTAGAGGCCTCCCATGAGAATGGGCTTGGGACAGAAGCAAAGTTGCTGTTTGTTAGGAAAACGTCTAAGCCCAGCCTACAGATATTTATTTACTATGCATTACTGTAAGGGATTTAATGTATTAAAACAGTTCACAGTCACACATCTTTCTTTTTCCCTTGATACCTGGGGACCAGAACCTGCAGCTGTCTTTGGGTCAGTGACTCACTCCTGACCCTCCCTAAACTGTCAGTTTGGAGCAGATCAGATACTGGGAATCACGGTCTCTGGGATACAACACTGGACACGGAGTAAATGCCACTCAGCTGGGCTAAGCCTGGTACAAACTTAATCTCATTTGGCTTTCACTGCAAACCTGTGAGGTGTTGCTGTGACTGTCACCATTTTGTAAATGGGAACTTGAGGCTTAGAGAGATTAAGGACCTTGTCTGAGCCCACACAACTTGTAACAGGCTTGCACTGGCAGCCCAGATGGAACCAAAGTCACAGCCCAGACCCTTGCTCAATATTGCTTCCTGTCCAGTCCTCAAGACGCACCCAGCTTCATACCTGCATTCAGCTGGTCATGTTTGAGCAAAACTAGAATGTACCGAATGGAGAGTATCTTCGCGCTTTATCTTTTTACAAAACACCACCCAACAAAGTCCTGCCAGTTCGTACATTCTTTACCCTTTTCGTGGAATTGCTTTCTCCTCTGGCCCATGTTCCTGATTCTGTCTGTCAGGGTCATGATACCCACCTGTGAGGAAGAGACCCACAGTCTGGCCCCCAGGAATCTTACTGCTCTCACCCAGACTTGGAGAGCCCCCTCAGGTACACATCTATTTCCATTTATCACCCCTCTGTCTTCAGCTCCCCCCCACATCCACAATCACTTCATGAAAAGGTGCAGGAGTGGTCTGGGGTTGGGGCAGCCCTGTGTCTAGAAAGGGACCAGGAGAAAATACAAGGTCGATGCCCCCATTTTACAGACGAGGAGACACCCCCATTTTACAGATTAGGAAAGGGTAGTTACGGTGACATGGGGTGGAGGGGGCTAAGTCTCACAAATGGGAGGAGAATAAAGAGGGAAAATCACACGTGGGAAGAGAGGATTTGGAGGCAGGGTCCTGCTTCCAGCAGTGCCTCTCACGAAGCCTTGGGGGGCCTGAGTTCATAGCAGCAGAGTTTTGTAGACAGAAGTGGGCCTGGTGCCCGGTCAGAAAAGGCCTCATGGCTCCGGGGTCAAGGTTCTAAGAGAGGGGACTGAGCTTGGGTCTGGGGCTGGAGAAGCAAAGAGAAGGTCAGATCACCTAATCTATCTTGCCCCGATCCTGCACAGGGCTGGAACACAGGGATCTCCCCTTTGGAACATCAGAACCCCCTAGAGTGCTTGTTAAATCCAGATTCCAGGCATCTTCTCTAGAGATTGAGATTCAATTCTTTGGGGCCAAGGCATCTGCATTTTAATGAAAGCCCTGGAGGTTCTGAAGCAGAGATCCCCAGAAAGCATTTGGGGTGACATTGACCTACATTGACTGGGCATAGCTTCGTTCAGTTCAGTTCAGTCACTCAGTCACGTCCAACTCTTTGGGACCCCATGGACTGCAGCATGTCAGGCCTTCCTGTCCATCGCCAACTCCTAGAGTTTACTTAAACTCATGTCCATTCAGTCGGTGATGTCATCCAACCATCTTAGAAAAACTTTAAACCTGTTCCTGGCTCCCAGGGCCCCTAGACATGGGGCCAGTCATCAGCTACACGGGTCACTTCTGGCCCCCCTTGTCCTGCTGCTGAGCTCATCCTTGGAACCAGCCACTTGCCTCAATGGACAGCATGTGGACGATGACACAGCGTGGAGAAGGGCCGAGCTGGGGACCGTATCTGCCTGAGATACAGTCCCTCCCTCCTGTTTAGGGGCAGCAGTGGGAAGCTCTGGGTCTGGGGGTGCCCAGATGGGGTTCCAGCGCTGATTCTTCCACTTACCTCCCTAAGCCTTAATGTCCTGGTCTATAAGATGGGTCCATGGTAGTTTTAGTTTAGAGGGTCATTGAGGAGATGCCACAGAGGAGTGTATGCGGATGTATCAGGCACTATGCCTGACAAGCCTGACGAGGTGAAATCGGGGCTCTTAGTCATATTGGTAGATACTTCAGAGCCCCCACCATGTGCCAGGCACCACCCCCCACGCTTCACATGTATAAACATGTTTAATCTTCACAGTAGCCCTGTGAGGCAGCTTCAAGGTTATGTTATGCCTGACAGTTCAGGAAATAGCACAGAGATGTGAGGCAGTTTGCCCAAGATCACACAGCGGGACCGAGGCCATGTCCCTAACGTTTGTGCTCCTGAGTGGTATACTGTCCTGACGCTGGGGAGAGCCCTTTGCATTTACTTTAGGCCCCTGCCCCTAAATTGTGTTTTTGAAGGATTTGTAAGCCGTTGACCCTTCCTTTCAAGTGAAATCTTTAAGGAAATCTAATGTAAAAACACGGCTCAGTTGGAAAAGATTCCACCTGCACTGCAGGAGACCCAGGTTCAATATCTAGGTTGGGAAGATCCCCTGGGGAAGGAAATGGCAACCCACTCCAGTGTTCTTGCCTGGAAAATCTCATGGACAGTGGAACCTGTTGGGCTATAGCTCGCGGTGTTGCAAAGATTCAGACACGACTTAGTGAATAACCACCAATGTAAAAACAGGTACATGTGGAGCAATTTTGGTTGAAGGGGCTGCTGAGGGTCTGTTTCCCCTCCTCTTCCCCTCCCCCCAGCAGTGGCAACCAATCCCAGAGGGCCTCCATGGGTTGCTGGGTAAAAATCAGAACAGAATCATCACCTGGGAGACAACTACTTTGACCTTTCACTTAAGTTCTTAGAATTTGGGAAAGAAACCCATGATTTCTTCCTGATCTCAAGACTAGGATGTTATCTGTTCACCCTGGTGATGAATACACACACACACACAAACATATACATGCTCACAGTCATACACACATACACACACACAATCATATATGTATATACAATCATATACACACACTCACACACACACACAATCATACACACCCTAACACAATCATGGCACATATACACAATCATATGCACACATACAATCATACATTCACACACAATCATACATTCACACACAATCATACACACACTCACACACAATCATACACACACACACAATCATGGCACATATACATAATCATATGCACACATACAGTCACACTCACATTCACACACAACCATACACACACTACTTTCTTCTCACACACAAATGCACACTCTCGTATGCACATTGACAAGCACACAAACTTACACAGGAGCCTCACCTCTGCTTTCCTTCTCTCATTGCCCCATTTCCTGTATTGCGCAAGATTCTAACTGAGCAAGGGGAGGGAGGCGCCCCTAGCCTCCTTAATACACACCTGCCCCCAACAGCAAACTCAACTCTGAGCCAGACTCATCAGCATCCTGTCCCATCACATGCCTTTTCATCTCAGGAGCTCCGCAAACAAGCAGTCTCATTAATGCCCATTTTACAGATGGGGGAAACTTTCATCACCATAATGACATCTCAGGGAGAGTGGCCTTTCACCTGTGGATCACAAAGGACTCTTTCCACATACTAAGTAGGTCCCGGAGGAAGATTCACCCCTGTTCTTCCCACCCTGTAGTTCTGGAAAGAGGAGGCGGAGGAACCTGAGGATGAGGCTATAGCGATGCGGGGCCCATTTCCCAATTGAGGAAGATGGCTGGCTGGGTGGGTGGAGTGTGCACATCAGTAACTGGACCGTGGCACCCTCAGGGAAGGGAGGGGGGAGTGGGGAAGCCTCAGAATGTGACTTGTAACAGTGATAATCACCAGAGCTACCACAGTGATTCTTCTTCCTATGTGAGAAGCACATTTCCCTTATAAACCGCAGGGCTGTCCTTCCAGGGGTAAGGTAGGGGCAATTTTTAAGCATTTCCCAGCGCACCAGTGCTTGCAAGACACCGAAAGTTTCTCAGCAGGTGAAGCATGATGCTCCAGGGCAATGGATCTTAAAGCCATGCATGAGATGGATTGAGAAGAGAGTGCTAGAAGAGGCTCGGGGCCATTGTCCAAGGGCTGGCTCAGGCCTGGGTTGACCTGGATAGGATCTATTTTAGAACTTGGCAATGGAAAGGAAGAGGGCTGTATGTAAGGCAACCTGGCAACTGGATGCTGGGAACATGGACAAGAACGCAGCTGTTTGCTTCACGGTTTTGATCTAGGTTTCCCAGAAGTTTGGAAAACAGATGCAGCTGATCACATTTTGGGAGATTTTAAAAAATGCTTATGTTCAGGGCCCACTCCAGGTTTTGACTCAGTAGGCCTGAAGTGGGATCAAATATGCCCCCTATGTGATCCCAGAGAACAGCCAGAGCTGAGACTCACTCTTCTAAATTCTCACTGCTCAGGGTGTGGACCACACCATCTAGCCTGGCATCAGCTGGAAACTTTCTAGAAGTGCATGTTCTCGAGCCCTGGCCCTTCAAGGCCCACTGAATCTGGATTTGCATCCTCAATACCTTTCAGACTTTAATCTGCTTGAGTACTACCTGGGGACCTTGGTAAAACTCAGGTTCTCATTCTCATTTGGTTCTTTTGAATGCTAACTCTGGGATCTGCTCCTGGGCCCAAAAGGTTCTCAGCATGACGACAGCTGACTTTTCTAGCAACTTGGAGCTGATCAGGCACTTTGAGTGACTTCTTATATTTTGCCTGACTCTTACCTTCATGCTACACTTTTGCAAAGCAGGCAGATGAGGCACCATTAGCTCTGCTTCAGCGGTTCCATTTTACAAACTGGAGGCTGATGTTCAGAGCCATAAGATCACCTCTTGCTCAGGCCTTACATCTGGTGTGTAGCCAAGTTGGAAGTTGCAACTCCACTTCTGGCATCAGATACCAGACTCCACTGATGAGGGTAACCAGCCTCCGTGATCCTTTGCTAGTTGAATGGCAGATGACCACCCTCAGTGAAGGCAGAAGATGATTAGCCTGTGACTTGTATAAGGGGAGGAAAGGTTGTAGGTCAGTGTTTCTCAACCTTAGCTACACAATGGCATCTTCAAAGTGGGCCTTAGAAATACCCAAGCCTGCATCCCAACCTTGGTGATTCTGATTTTACTGATGTGGATGTGGTCTGTGCTTTGGGATGTTTTTAAAGCCAGCCCTGTGATTCTCACATGCAGCTGAGTTTGGGAACCTCTTTCTGTTTCCCACATCACATGACCCAGTCCTGTCTTCTCAGTGGAAACAGCTTCCGACTGTTCAAACCTCCCCTCCAGGCCTCGAATCCATGTATTATCCCTGGGCAGCCTACTAGCAGAGAGGCCTGTTGGAAAAACATGCCCTTTTAGAATCCCAACCCACTTCATTGGAGATTGCCAGATTTAGTAAATGGAAATGCAGGATGCCTAGTAAAATGTGAATTGCAGAAAAACAGTGAGTCACTTTTTTAGCAGAAGTATGTCCAGTGCAGTATGTGGGAAATACTTATACTTTAGATTTATTCATTGTTATCTGAAATCCACGTTTAACTGAATGTCCCGTCTTTTGTCCGTCATTCCAGATTCTCGTTCCTAGCAACCAGGTCTTCTAAAAGGAGGGCATTTGAGTTGAGCCTGTCTGGGCTGGATGGGGGTATCCAGTTTTGTCAGATGAGGCAGCTGAGGAGGATTGGTTTTCAGGTGCCTTTATTGAAACTGCCCCAGATGGACAGACACAACATCCTTCTTGTACTTTTGGCTGCAGAGTCGGCTTTCCATGAATGTGTCCTGTGGAAATGAGTAAACCAGTTTCTCCTCTCCCTGGCCCCAGGCCATGTACACCAGTGACGCAGCCCAGAGAGATGCTACGAGCTCAGAATTTGGACACGGAAAGATTTTTTTTCCTGGAACCAAGTAACATGAGCCAAACAGCTATATATAAAATTTGGTAGAAATGTCATAGACTGCACATTCCAAGAAAGTTGGTTGTAGGTGATCCTGACTTACATATGCAGCTGGTATTCACAGTGTAGGCCTACAATATGTGCTAATAAAAATAATTGTCAGGAGAGGTCAGGTGACAGGAATCTAAACTGCAATGGTATAAATCAGTATCAGTTGCCTGTTTATTCATTAATTCATTCAAAAAACATTTCTTGTCCACTTACTATGTACCAGGCACTGGGCAAAGATGCATCCTGCACTGAAGTTGCTCTTATTCTGTTGGGAGAGACAGATAGGTGGAGACAATTACAATTCAACAAGAGGAACACTTTGATGAAGGTAAGTACAAGGTGCTATGAGGACCCTCGGAGGGAACTTGCCCTGAGGTGGGGGCAGGAAAGGGTCTCTAGAGGAAAACCAGAGACATATATGTGAATTAGTGGGATGAAGAAGGTGGGAAGGACAGAGTACTCTAGGCAGCGTATGCCAAAGCAGAGAGAAGGAAGAGAACATGGAACACTGGGATGTAACTGGAGATGAGATTGGAGAGCTGAGCAGGGGCCACAGAGGACACCAGTATGCCTGGGGTTTGGAACAAAGGAAAGTAATAGAAGGATACGAAGCTGGAGAAGGACATGAGCAAACTTGCTCTGGCCATAGTATGGAGACTGAATGGAAAGGGACAAGCCTGGAGTCGGGGAGACCAAGCTGAAGGCTGATATAGGCGTACACAGGAGAGATGATGGTGGACCTGCTTAGGTGGAGACATAAGGGGTGGAGAGAAGTGGGTATGCTATACAAGATTTATGGAGGGCAGGTCTCCAGGACGTGGAGAGCCCATAGGATATGAGGGATGATGAAAGGGCGGTGCCTAATACGGCTCCTGGGATAGGAGATGCATCTGGATAGGAGATCAACCTGGCACTTGAGCTCAGGCTTGAAGACTGACTTCTTGACCATCCTTACAGGTGATTCTTAGGTTCTTTGAACTGCATGCGGCTATAAGGGAGGGAAAAATTATCCTCTATCTTTTTCAGTTCAGTTCCCAGGACCCTGAAAATTAAACTGACACAAGATAGATTAATAGAAGAAAAGCCATAAAAATGTAATTTGTTGTTACTGTTTTGATTTTTGCTTGTACACAAGGGTCTCAAAGAAAAGGAAGGCAGTTCAGCCTGAGTTTGTATACCAATTTAACAAAAAGTAACATTATGTAGAGAAGTGATAAGACTAATGAAAAGGGTTGGGATTTCTAGGGGTGGTAACTTTCTAGGGGTGGAAATATATGGGTGAAACTAACGGGAGGTGTGTTCTTTCCAGTAAGGTTTGTGAATGCAGATTCAAGTCATACCATCTCCAGCAACGGCTTATATCCTCTTCCTAGTACAGAAGAAGAAAGTAAAGATTTCACAAAGGGGAATTTATGCCTGCTGTTTTAGACAGAAAGGGGGAAGATAAAGAGCTTTTCCTGCATCTGCTGACTCTCAATTGCCTTCAATTCAAAATAATCCTTATGCTAAAGTGGTTTCTTTTGGGTGGCATATTCTCATCCCCTTCATGGCCAATATAAGAAGTCTTGGGCTCATCTTCCCCAAGCCCCTCTGAGTCTCCTTTCTTTCCTTTTTTCTCTCCCTTAATCCCAGTTCAGATCCCATCTATTTGACCTCAGGTGAGTCACACAACCCCCCTGGACCTTAGTTTCAGTAAAATGGAGGCACCAGTGAACTTTCTGTAACTCATCTTTGAGGCCCTGGGCCTTCAAGGAAGCAGAACATAGCATTTATAAGGGTGAGATTCCAAGTCCAACCAGTAGGGTTTTATCCAAGCTCTCCCATTGCTAGTTACTTAATTGCGGGCCAGTTGTATCAACTTTCCAAACCTCAGTTCCCCATATATATGTTTAGAGTGGGGATAATAATAAAGCTCTACCTCATATAGTTTTTTGTAAGGAGATAATCTATTTAGCATTGTGCCTGGCATACATTAAGCGTCCAGTATATATTAGCTAATAAAATACAAGAATCATGATACATTAATAATCACCATTATTATCATCTATGTACATAGCAAATGTGAACAGGAAAGTGAGCATTACAAACATTTATTGAGCACCTACAATAATGTCAGGAATGTTTATACATTTCACAATAATTCATTCTTGAGGTAGACACTATAATAATCATTATTTTATGTCAAGGAAGCTGAAGCACAGTGCAGTCAAGTAATTTGCCTAAGGTCACATCACTAATTAGTGGCAGAACCTACCCTTCCAAACCAGGAAATCTGGTTTTGTGGACCACACTTGTAGTCACTATGTGGTACATAGACCAACCATAATCCACTTAGCATCTTACTCCCTCTCTCTCTTTTTTCTTTTGCAACACTTCCAGCATTTCCTCATCCAGGAAAAAAATCTGACCTTCGTTTAGCATGTGCTATTTTCTCCACGGAGAGCTCCAGATAACCCAGATCTGTGTTACTCAAACTGTGTTCCATGGTCCATGGAGGATTTCACAGCCAAAAGAGTTTGAAAAATGCTAGACTAAGAAAAATTTGTTGTTCCTGTTGTTCAGTGGCTAAATCATGTCTGACTTTTTGCAACCCTATGGACTGCTGCACGCCAGACTTCCCCGTCCTTTGCTATCTCCCGGAGTTTGCTCAAATTCATTTCCGTTGAATCAGTGATGTTATCTATCTCATCTGCTGTTGATTCTTCTCCTTTTGCCTTCAGTCTTTCCCAGCATCAGGGTCTTTTTCAATGAGTTGGCTCTTGGTGGTCAAAGTATTGGAGCTTCAGCTTCAACATCAGTCCTTCCAGTGAATGTTCAAGGTTGATTTCCTTGGAATTGACTGGTTTGATCCCCATGCAGTCCAAGGGACTCTCAGCAGTCTTCTCTAGCACCGCAATGCAAAAGCATCAATTCTTCAGTGCTCAGCCTTCTTTATGGTCCAACTCTGACATCTGTGCATAACTACAGATCTGGAAAAACCATAGTTTTGAATATAAGGACCTTTGTTGGCAAACTGATCTCTCTGCTTTTTATACATTCTAATACATTGTCTAGGTTTGTGACAAGCAAAGTTTATTTGCTTAGTAAACCACGAAACTTCTGGGGACTTTAAAATACTAGTGTATGCTGGGAATCTCTGGGTGGGAAACCCAAAGAGGCGTTTCTCAGACACATTTAATTATGGACTTCCCTTTACCGGCTCAGACGGTAAAGCGTCTGCCTACAATGCGGGTTCCTGGGTGGGGAAGATCTCCTGGAGAAGGAAATGGTAACCCACTCCAGTACTTTCCTGGAAAATCCCACGGTCAGAGAAGCCTGGTAGGCTACAGGCCATGGGGTCGCAAAGAGTCGGACACGACTGAGCGACTTCACTTCATTTCCCTTTTCTTTTCACAGAACAACCCAAAGGACCTGTGTTCCATGGAACACACTTTGGGAAATACTGACCTAGGTGTGAATGGTGAAATAGGATACTGGAGAGCTGGAAAGACTGAAGAGAAACAAGAAATTAAAGCCTATAGTTTGCAGGGAAGGCCAGTTTGAGTACCAGTTCATACAGAATGGGCACTCTAACTTAGAGGTCACATACAAGGGCAAATGGAAACAAGGATTGTGTCTGGCCTTCACTATTAAAAAAAAGTAGGGGAAATTTTATATAAAGATCCAGTATCAGAGTGTTTGATACCATTGGGCTCACTTTCCTACATGACAATAATCTTCTGCCCTGTTTTAATTAGGCAAGCATTCTCCCATTTGCCACAGTCCTCACCACTCCCTATTATTTTAATTGGCCCACTTCCATTATTTATGTTACGTAAAAGTTTTTGAGTTTGTGACCCCTGAACCCACTGCATCTTGTAAACCTCAAAGAAGCTGGAATAAGGGTTTATGCTTGATAAATACCTCAGGCATTCATTTTTATAACTAGCTCTTTTTTCTCATTGTAAAGATACTCATGCCCATTGCAGAAAACTTGGAAATACAGAAAAGTATGAAAATGAAACAATGGTGTGTATAATAACCACAATTCAGAGATAACTATGGCTAACTTTCTGTTATATTCCTTCTATTATTTTTGTTTGTGCCTACATATCTAGTCCAACTTTTCATCATATTTTGCTTGGATCATATCATACATGAGATTTTGTATCTTCCTTTATTCAGAGAATATTCTATTATTTACTAAGCATGTTTTATTCTGCTAAATTGTAATAGTTGAGTTTCTAAGAAAACTCACTTTAAAAAAAAATTGCTTATAGTAGGACCAGAGAGGTTAGGGGCTGGAAAATGTTAGACTTGCAATAAAAAAGGTATTTTTTTTCTGCCAGAATGCTTATCTCAGAGTTGTTTTTTATAGTCATAAAGGCACAGCTCTAAAAGTTAAACATTATTGAACAAATCCAACATTATATGGTTGAAAAGTGACTCTAATAAAAAAGAAAGTAATGCCAAAGTACATGTGAAGGGCTTGAATGTTATTTCACTAAATGTGAGAATGGATAAAGTGACTTTTCTAAATTCACGTGTGATAATTTTATATAACATATCAATGCAAAGCTTTATGTAGCTGATCTCATAAATTAAAGATAGGAATGCATATTTAACTATTCCTCTGCCTCCTAAAAAGTTTATATCCTCAAATTACTCAAAATCACTCTTTAATGGAAAAATCAGAGATACTCTTATATTGAAGGCAGAAATAATAGTTATATTTGGCACTTTATTTAGAATCCTAAGTGAGTGTGCTTAGTGGTCAGCCTGTAACTCTGCCCTTGAAGTAGGAATCTGCGCTACTGCAGTCAGAGGCTGTCCATTCTCAACATGAGTGTCTCCTGTGATGAGAGACCTTGCCCTCAGAGATGCAATCCAGAGCTTGTTACTAGACAGCTTGTACTCACGTGGAAGCCATGCATCCTCTGACTTCCGCCCAATCACCCAATTCTGCTCTTCAGGTTGATGTCTGTTTCTTTTTCCTGTGACAGCCTCAAGTATGTTAAGAAAGCTATTATTTTCCCAAAAAATCTTTTCTAAGCCAAAGCGCGTTTTGCACTCTAATTTTTGTTTTTTTGGAGGTGTAGTTGATTTACAATATTATGTTAGTTTCAGGCTTACAGCAAAGTGATTTGGTCATAAATATATCTATAGTACATGGATAATAATCTGATATATATGTCTATATATAATACAAATGGGCTTCCAAGGTGGCACTAGTGGTAAAGAACCTGCCTGCCAATGCAGGAGACATAAAAGAAGCAGGTTCGATCCTTGGGTCAGGAAGATTCCCTGGAGGAGGGCATGGCAACCCACTGCAGCGTTCTTGCTTGGAGAATCCCATGGACAGAGCAGCCTGGAGAGCTAAAGTCCATAGGTCTGTATGAGTCACAAAGAGTCGAACACAACTGAAGCAATTTAGTACACACACATAAAATATGTAATACTTATTATATAAACACATATATACTTCAGATTATTTTCCATTAAAAGCTATTATTTGATACTGAATATAGTTCCCTGTGCTGTACAGTATATCCTTGTTGCTCATCTATTTTAAGTATAGCAGTTTCATCTGCTAGTCCATAATCCTAATTTATCTCTCACCCCTGACTTTCCCCTTTGGTATCCATAGGCTTCTTTTCTATGACCGTGAATCTGTTTCTGTTTTGTATATAGAGTCATCTGTATTATCTTCTGATTCCACAATGAGTGATACCATACAATATTTATCTTTCTCTACCTGACTTACTTCACTTAGTATGATATTCTCTAGGTCTACCCACATTGCTGCAAATAGCAGTATTTCATTCTTTTTCACAACTGAATAGTAAATGTATTTACATACTACATCTTAAACCACTCATCTGTTGATGGGCATTTGAGTTGTTTACACATCTTAGCCACTATAAATAGTGCTTCTGTGAACACTGGGATGTATGTATTTTTTCAAAGAAGGGTTTTCATCTTTTCTGGATATTTGCCCAGGAATAAGATTGCTAGATCATATGGTTAAGGCAAGCTTTTTAATTTTTTCAAGTTTCTAATATATCATAGTTTTGAGACATTTACAGAAACCCAGAATGATTTTGGTATTACGTAAAATTTTTAAAGGAGTTAAATGAAGGAAATTCCCTGGTGTCTCAATGGTTAGGGCTGTTTGTTCTCACTGCCAAGAACCTGGGTTCAACGCTTGGTCAGGGAACTAAGATCCCTTCAAGCAGCATAGTGCAGCCAAAAAAAGAAAAAGGAGTTAAATTAAGATTGATCTCGCTTCCCTGGTGGCTCAGATGGTAGAGAATCTGCCTGCAATGTGGGAGACCTGGGTTTGGTCCCTGGCTTGGGAAGATCCCCTGGAGAAGGGAACGGCTCCGGTATTCTGGTCTGGAGAATTCCATGGACAGAAGAGCCTGGCAGGCTACAGTCCATGGGATGGCAAAGACATGACTGAGCGACTTTCACTTTCAAGAA